AATGATGAGTGCGATTTTGGTTTTTTAATAGGTAAAGATAACCAGGAACCAGAGACTTTAAATGCTTATGCTCCTGCCCCTTCTTTTATTGATAATTGTGGCAAGAAGAGGAGAGAAAACAGAGAAGTTATTTATGAGACGAAGAGAATACATCCAACTGGGAAAAATAGCAAACAATACTATTGATTTATTTGCACACCCAATTTTCCATCCGAACTAAACAAAATTAATGACCTTCATTGTCATGCTCGAAAACTTGATTGGTCGGGAGAGGCTAGAATTAGTTTATATTCAACTAGTTTGAAAATCAAAAAAGTAAAAGTCAAAAGAGGTAAAATTTCCGACTCCAATCTGAATGATGTAGAAAAGTTGGTGATAGAAAATAAAGAGTTGATTTATGAAGAGTGAAAAAGTGTTTGAGTGGTTGCTTGAAATAATTATTGGGGCATTAAGCAGTAAAATTGTTTATTATGAATGAAATTAGGCAAAATGAAAATGTTAGAAAACAAATCAAACATTACAGAACCGAATCGAGGGAAGAACGGCACACTCATCCTAAATTGCTTAAACTAGAAATTAATGAACAAAAGATTACTGCTTATCTAGAAGACAAAAGAGAAATAAGTATTCCTGTTAGTGAGTTGGCTAAGGGGTGATGTCAACCAAATTTAAAAGCCGAACAGTTAAAAAATTATGAAATAGACCCGTGAGGATTTAGACTTCATTTTCCCGAAGCCGACATTGACACTTGTGTTCTAGTATTTACTGGCTATTATTGTGGCTGTTGCTAATTATGAATAAAACCCAAAAAGAAATAACCCAGTTAAAAAAGGAGTTAGAAAACCCCGAACGAACCGAAGCCGAAAAAAGCAAAATTAAACACTGAATAGGAGTATTAGAAAACGAAGCCAAGAAGCCAAAATAATTTATACCTTTATCCTCTTAAAATCTTAAACTTTATCAATGTTTTTTGTTGTTTGCTTCTTTTTCTTTCAAAAGTAAAATGCCATCCCTCCTGCTAATAATAATCCTCCCAGGCTTAATATTCAAGGTCAATAATTCCGAGATGCCAATTCTCCTAAATTATCCTGCTCGATTATTAATAAATCTTCGGTATTGGCTAAATAAGCATTAACATCGGCATGGCTACTTCCTCCCCGATTAGGAGAGAAATAAACAGCAATAATTTTCTTATCACTTTCGCACTCTTCTTCGTGTTTGTTTAAATCGGCTAGGGCTTGCTTACAGGCTAGTTCGGTTTCACTAATATTCTTATCCCATAGTATTTTGCCTCAGCATTTTTGGCAAGTTCTTAACAATCTTAATTCTCGGCTCTTTCGGGTTTCTTCTCACTTATTGGCTAATAATCTTTTTTGCTCGACTGGGTTTTCTTTTTTTTCACAAACGGCTTTATGTTCGATTAATAACTTTTCCACCTTTTTCCGAGCCTCTAAATAATTGCTTAACGATTTATCATAACTGATATTTAGACAACAATAAGGACAAAGAAAATTCTTCTCTAATTTCGGATTTCGAATTAAACTTTTTCAGCCATTATCAGTTCTCTGCCGTCCTTCTCGAATAAGAGTTGGCAAGGAAACATAGTCCTCCCCGTATCTTCGTATTTCTCCTCTCTCTCTCTCTCTCTCTCCATCATTATTTAAATTAGCAGAAAAGGGGATGGTAGTGAGGGAAGTAAAGTCAATATTTCCGTATTTTTGTTCTAACCTTTCTAATCGAACCCTTTTTCTTTCTATTTCTTGGTATAAAGGATGATTTGAGTTAAGTCTGTTGTTTCCTCAAAACAGTCGAGCAACTCGTAATTCTTGGAATTCTTTTAGTTCGTCAATAGTTCGTTGACAAGTAATATGTTTGTCATTTGGACCATTATGTCATTCATAACAAATCGGACAAAGAATAATTTCCAAAGAACTATGAATAGACCAAGCATTTTCAGCTCCACTATTTTCTTGTTCGACAATGTCAATTCAAATCCTCGGAGGATTAGATACAAAGTTATTAATATCTTCTCGTTTTCAGCATGCTTTTGCTAATTCTTTATAATCATCCTTTTTTTGTTCTCAACATAAAGAATGTAAATTAATAAACTCATGAAGTCGATAATAAGTATCTCCCCTCTTCCCTCGTTTTATTTCTTTTATTTCTTGGTGGCAAACATGGCAAAAGTTTTTCCCACAGTTCACACACACAATTTTATCCCCTATTTGATAGGACAAATTATTGCAAACCTGGCACTTTTTTATTATTTGTGTTGGCATAACTGTTTTTAATAATTTTTACTATAATTTTATTCCTTTAATATATTAGGAAACTATTTTAAACTATTTTTGGTCGTAAAGGAGCCAGGAGAACCAATAAAAGTCTATAATGACCGAACAAGACCAAATAACAGCCCTAGCCATTAGCACCATTTTAGGAGTAATCGGGAATATTTTGTGAGGCCTGTATGTTTGATTAGTCCCGTGTGTCAAGTGTAAACAACAAAAAACCCTCAACCGACTATTTAAAAGCCAGTGTGAGAGATGTGAATGAGACAGGAGAGAGATTGAGTATTAGCATGACTTATAAAGACGAAGGAACTGTCCCCGTTATGACCCCGTTTAAATGCTCTTTTTCTCGGGACTTTTCTTTCTCTTCTCCTCACTAATTTTCTCTCCCTTATATTTCTCCTTAAAAATTATTTTCAACGACAAAAAGTAGTGATTTTTGGGAAAATTAACCATCTGCTATTGTCCCTTTTACCCCAGGCTAAAATTAAGACCCCATTTCCAGCCTTTTTACCGAGTCTAAGAAGCCTTTTTCATAAGCACTTTTTCTCTTTTCCTAGAAATATACGAGATTAATTTGTTTCAAGTCAAAAGCAAAGCAAAAATGATGTTTCGCGCTCATTACCTCCATTGTCCCCTAAGAGCAAAAGATACCGTCGTCTCCCCTCTTCCCTCGGTAAAGCCTTATAGGGTTTTACGCAATAGGGAAAGTTTGAGAAAAAGGCATTTCGTTGCATTGATAATTTATGTAATACTCTTAAAGTCTTAAACTTTTATATCGTTTTATAAGCTAGCAAAAGCCAGGAAAAATTTTTTACCAGTATAAATCATAGGAAGCATAAAAAAGTAAGTCGTTAAGCAATACCAGAGCCGAGAATAATGCCTCTATACGCATATGAGAAAAGTAGAGATTAATTATTCGTCAAATCCCCACTTTCTTAATTGCTTAATGTTTTCCTCTTTCTTCTGTCCCGTCCGGTAATTATTACAGCCTTTTGGACCTTGGCATTTTCAGAGTAAAACCGACCAATCCATAGTATAAAGGCATTGGTGAAATTTGTTATTGTTGGGTTTGCTCGAGAGCACTTTCTTTCGTTGGTTTCATTTACTATTTCATTTTCTCATAATTCGGTGTAAATAAATTATAGGGTATAAAAGTATAAAATAATATTAAGTATAAATTACCATGCCAATCACTAATCCCATTAAGAGAAAAGAATATGCCCGATTATCTATGGCAATTAAGAAAGCCCGAGAAAGAGGAGAGAACATAAACCAATTATTAGAGCAAAGAAAAAGTTTAACCCAACAGGGTATAAATACAGGTATAAACAATAAACAATTTATACCCAAGAAAAAGTATAAATCAAACCCTAGTAAATTTTCCTTCGAAATACTTTTATCCGAAATCAAAAAGACCCAAGAATTAATCAATCAGGAGAAACTGGAAAGGATACCGTTTCATTATGAGATTTCAGAGATGGTGAGAGAATGGCAGCAAGGAATTAGTGAAATCGAGCAAACCATTAAGGAGTTAATAAGCCAAAAGCAAGCCCCAATAGTTAGAACCAGCCGAGAGAAAAAGACCGAACCAAACACGAGAGAAAGAAAAAGAAAATCC